GGTTTCTCCAATGTTATCCCAGCTGTTTTTAACCCGGGAAATTCTTCTCATCCCAGGAAATCCCGCAAATTTCTTAAAAATTATTTTTCTTATTTTGTGTTAAAGTTGAGGAAATTTTGCAAATAGAAAGTATAATTAACTCATAAACTGTCGGAATACATTTGTATTTATTAATTTTAAGCCTGTTTATTACTTTTATAATTTTTTGTTCGTTATGGCATGTCACAGATTGTCAATAATCAATATGTAATCTATTTGTGGCAGGACTATGAAAATTTTTACTTGTCGGAACCTGTAATATCTTGAATAATTGCGCCGATGTTGTCTTTATTTTTAACCATGCCCAATAGCTCCAATAACTGCGTTATGCTAGGTTGTGCAAATTAGACCAGGATACAAACGAGTATAAAATATGCAAGTACGAAATTTTTCTTCATAAACTTGATTATTAAAGCCAAAATACCGTATTATCCGGCTATAAGCTTGATGCCGCTATTAACTACTCGGCTACCAGCGGGCTATTTTCGTTACGTTAAATTAAAACTAATTCCACATTGGAAGAACGATCTATCGAAAGAATATAATGAACTTAACAGAAAAAATTTCAAATTTTCGTGCGTTTTCTTGATTTTCTCCAAACTTATCCTTTAATTGTGTTTTTTAAATTATATAATTTNCAAAAAAATATTGTATTAAAAATCAAATAATTTTGAAGATTTTTGAGAAAAATATTCTTAAAAATACAGTTACAAAGTTATAGCATTTTTAAGAATATTTTTTATAAAGTTCAAAAGAATTTATCAACAAATTAAGATGTAATAAGTTTTAGTGAAAATTTTAATAACAGTCTAATCAGATCAAGAGTAAAATATTTTTGTGTCACTATCCATAAATTAATGTCATGTTACAAATAAATTTGCATTATAGCACAACATTTTCAATGTGAAAATAAATTTTGTTTACATAAAAAATTTTCTTATACATGTTTCATACCATAACAGACAATAACTAATTTAATACAAATTAATGCTAGTTACTGTTACTTCAATTTTGAAGGTGTAATGTTTATTACCACTTAATTTTTATAATGTTTACAAGTGTTAATGTTAATATGTGTTTAATATACTTTCAAACAAATGTTCCAGTTTAGAGAATATAACTTCAGTAGCAGAGGAAGACTTCAAGAAAGTGAAAACATTTCTGGGAAATATTTCTCAGTTGACAGCTTATTGACTATTATGCTGCTTATTTTTATAAGCAGCATAAGTTTTGATATATTTTCATTTAAATTAATTTTCTTATTTTTGTAAAAGATATTAATTATTGCAATGGAATCATGATTAGTATCTTGAACGAAACAAAATGAAAATTATTCTCAAACACATTTGTCCATAAAATATTTTATTTGATTATACTAACAAAAGAAATTGATAATTTTTGATACCTTAAACTGGAACTATATAATAAACAACAACTTGACTATAATAACTATTTTCAAAGGATAGAACTGTTTTTTGTGTTTTTCTTGCATTTATTCCTGATGAGAGCCTCAAAACGTTTGAACATTAAACATTCTTTGTTCAGTTTATGCCAGAATTCTCATTTAGGTATCAAGTAGTTGTTTAAAATGTTTATTAAAAAAAACAAATGAGCATTTTATATTTAAAAATTCTATTTTTATAGAATGTTTTTTATATTAGGGTCAATGGCAGGCTTGAAGCCAGACCACAAATTGGAGCAAAAACATCCATTCGTTCCATCGATAAACATATTGCTGGAAAGAGGAAAAAATAGTATTTTTCAAAGGTCTCGACTAATTCTTTTCTCAGTTTCGTCAAGACCATCGGATAAAAAGGTCAGACGAGGATCTCCGACGAGACCATTGTCTATCATTATTTTTTCCACCTAAAATTTATTTTGTTCTACCACAAAAAAACACCAGCAGTCGATACTTTTTACGTTAGCTGTAAAAATATATTACCATATATTTGTGCAGATAAGACAATAGTTGAATCATAAAAAAAGACCCCTAAAATCTGGGATCGCCTTATAGGACAGATACAAAAAAACAAAATTAGATTGAAATTTATATAAATTAAAATCATTATAAAAAAAAACTGTAAAACCGTAATTATTTACTAGTAGAGAGTAGGGTATGTCCACAAAATAGAATAGCCCATACGACATTTTTGTGAATAGTCAAGGTCATTACCCAAATGCCCGAATCAGTGGGAATGTTTGCAACAATAGCAAGGCAGTGCTGACAGATGCAAGAAAATAAAATTTTTTCATTTGAAAAATTATGAATAGGATATACAAGGTCTGTTCAAAAAGTATCGGACCTTTGGTCGGCAAAAATAAATTTATTGACTTTGAGGTACAAAACCCTAATCCCCTTCAAAGTAGTCTCCTTGGTAATGTATACACTTCTCCCAGCGTTCCTGCCATTGCTGGAAACACTGCTGGAACGTATCTTTTGGAATGGCCATCAGCCGGTCCATTGGATTCCGCACGTTGTCTTCTCTCAACTAAATTCGGGTTCCTTTTAGCGGCATTTTCAGCTTGGGAAATAGCCAAAGGTCACATGGAGCCATGTGGGGAGAGTATGGAGCGTGACGAACCACAGGAGTATTGTGTTTGGTGACGAAAGCCTGAATCAGATGCGCAGAATGGGCGGATGCATTATCACGATGGAGCTGCCAAGTTTTGATCGACCACAGATACGGTCATTTGCGTCGCACTGTATCGGAAAGANTGCCACGTTAAGGATCTGGCAGGACACACCGGCCGCATTCTTTTGCTTTCGCTGGAAAATATCGAATAATTTCGAAGGACGTAAGTCCGCCGCAAAGTTTGGTTTTAGGCTCGAACTTCTTTAACTCTATGAGATTTCCCATTTTCTCCATTTTCGGTATAAAATCTGCCGATTAATTAATTGGACGAAGAAACTTATTCTTCTGTCCAATTATTTTAAACGTTCTAGAAAAAATGTGCGTCGTTTTCCGCACCCGCGCAATTATTCGAAATGATCAAAAAAGTTATCGGAATCTGTTCAGATTTTTAGAAATACGTTTCAAATTTTTGAATTTTTGAGATTTCGTTACGGACGCAACGAAAACAAAATAAAATTACAAATATTCATTAAAATGTATAAAGCAGATTAAAATTTATTTTCGTTTTAAATATGTATGATGCAAATATTTAATTTCCAAAAGTACAATAAACACTTATAGAAAACACTTATTGTAAAGAAATTATCGGGAGAGGAAGGGAAAGCTGGAGATTTTTTTCAGGCTCCAAGAAAAGTTGAAGGCCGTAATGGTTTCTATCTGTAAATTAATGCTATTTTTAAAATATAAATTTTCGTCTACAATTTTATGTATCTTCTATTATCAGGACTTATTATACTGGCTTTACAGATAATGCTACAAAGTTTTACACAAAACAATTTTTTATTTTATTTAATATACCTGCAGGTATATTAAATAAAATAACTGACAAAAAAAACCCAGCAAAGAGTTGCCAAACTTTCCCGGCAACATTTGGTGGCGCCATCCGATACGATATTTTGCTTTTAAAGTTTTTATATTGTTAACTATCATAAAATGGCAAAAAGCTTAATTTTGAAGGTAAGGACGGGTTTTATAAAAATTCTAAGTACAACCAGTAAAATCGTCATTAAGTCCGACCCTACTGGGGATACACTCAGCCTCCTTTATCTCCCCATCCCTGGACCTTTAACCATCGAAATTTACTAGCATCGATCCCGCTAATAAATAAACCTTCCTGCGAAATTTCAGAAATTTTCGACAAAAAGCGCGAGAGTTATTAAGCTTCAAACAGGGCGAATAAGATCGTGCCCTCCCACACACTAACATCCATATACAGTATACAGAAATTACCCCCGAAATTTTTTGCATTTCTCGACGTTTATATTTCGTTTATTTTTTTAAAAATAAAAAGGCAAAGGGGCCCGGGCCTTTGCCTTTTTTTTAAAAAAATATCTCCACGACCACCCGTACAATCTCCGGGTGGCCGTGGAGATTACGCTTGATATTTTAAACTAGTAGCGTACGGACAGAAAAATTATTTTACATTTTAATCAGTGGCGTAGCGAGAGGGGGCAAGGGGTGTATTATGCATCGGGCGCCACTCGCAGGGTGGCGCCCAAATGGTCTCCGAGACAAACTATATGTTTCTGGAGGGGGAGGGGGCGAATAAAGTGTCGTGCCCCGGGCGCCATTTATGTTCGCTACACCACTGATTTTAATTTTGGCTTACATTCGATTCGTCCCGTGATAAATTACCATTCTTGAAAACGTGAAATTTTGTTTTCGATGTTTGGTGAATAATAATTATCACTCCGAATGCGAATCAAGTTAATGCGGTTACAAGGAATGTCTGTCTTTCGGGAAAGCAAAAATAATTTTTTTTTTTTTATTTATTGACAGTAAAATTTCTGTTTACTTTAAAGACAAAGTTTGATAAATTTAGTAATTTTGAAATACTATATTTGAATATAAATTCGAATTGTACTGTATCGTTAGATTATTAGCAAGAGAATAATTATTTTTTAAATTTTATAATTACGAATAATTATATTAATTCGTCGAAAGAATAATATAAGTTTTTGTTAATAACACGTTACTTTTAATATAAAAACTTTTTTAGCTTTCTTTTCTTTCGGCCGACGAGTGATTTAATTTAATGAGCAATGTACTAAATTCTCTCATTGAATTTATTTATTACGTTGTCGATGAATTTAATGGTTACGTCGGGTCTAAAAGAAAAACGTTTTCGTTTAGTGTAGAAATGAAATAAAACAATGCTTCCATCTGTTGGAAAATATCTGAACCGAAATAAATAAGTTTGTTTACGTTTTCTTATTAATAATATCATTACGTTTTCTTATTAGAAAAATGAATTTTTCGATCGTATTTGTTGGCTATTTAAAGAAAATAAAATAAAGACACAAATAAATGACAACTTTCACACTTTTCGGTAACAACGTGCCGTGATTATTAAAAAAAAAGTTCAATGTCGCATCCACCCTTACTAATTTTTCTCTTTTAAATTAGTGTTATACGTGATTTGCGATTTAAAACCGTTTCCAAACGTTTAATTTGCATAATTTGAAATTCCGGTTTTTGACTTGATGACCGAGGAATTGTATCGAGAACTGGTAATATGGTAAGATCGTTCCGAATTGGGTCAGTAATCGCCGGAGGTGGCTGCCTCCTCAACCTTGCTTGACGACCTAATTTCGACCCACCTGACGGAGTACGTCGTGGCAGTTGGAAATATGCAAGGTGACTATGGACGGCTTCTAATTCTATCGCCTTTGCTTTTCTTTACGGGTAAGTACATTTTCGTAAATTTAAAAACAACTACGGATAACTCTAAAAGACCCGTTATAAACATAAATATTAGATAAAATGTACGTAAACAAAAGACTCGTAAAGTTACGACGGTATTGAAATTCAATTTACTTTAAATTTTATTGTTATCCTATACGCCGAAACTTCCATCCCACGTGGAAAAAGTTTTCCGTAACGTTTTATGACGGATGAATAAATGTATTATAAAGTCAAAATATATTTGGTAAAGTCATAGAACCAGTATGACATTTTATTTATTAATGGCGGATGCAATAAGGTCAAACTATGAACTGTCAATTATATACAAAACTAAGTCATACCTAAGATTAAATTGAATATCCGGTTTTAAAAAAGATTATGACTGATACTATCCATATAGATATAGAAATATTCTTGATTACAATATTCAAACTTAATTTTTCTATATAAATATTGTATGTAAATGAAAATTTGTTTACTGTTTAGAATTTCGTTCTATCGCGTGCTTTAAAGTCGAGATCTCGAGTTTGGTCGCCTTGTACAAATTGTATACACCAGAAAATTTATAACCTAATTACTTTCTTGCATTTTTCTAAGTTTTTACTGTTTTAATAATTATATGAAAAAATATGGTATATAATTTATATCAAAGTTAATAATATATTATAGAACATCACGTTACATCACGTTTGATTCGTCTCAACATTTATTATATTAATGTATTATGCAAAACATTTTGATATACTCTCGATTTGATACTTTATTCGTTATATATTTGTTTTTCTGAAGTAAAATTATATGAATCGATTGTTTTTATTTCCCATTTTCCTCTTCCCACATTCTAATTTTGATACGATATTAGAATTATTTCCGATGATTTATTGTAAAAGTTCTCTAATCGATATTGTTCAATGTGTAAAGAAGACATTTGCAATGTGTTTAGCAAAAGTTGTGTTAATATAAAAACTTCGATATGTACCGTATTTACGCAATCGAACCCATTTCACGTTTTTTAGCGATTTCTTTTTATACTTCTCGTTTTTGATTCCTGTTACTATATAAGAAGTTCCGTTCGTCATGTAGGCTACAGATAGCAAATGCAACGTTACTTTTTGGGCCAGTTCCAATATTCGACCGTAGTTCGTCATTGGTTAGATTTTCATTACGATTTGATTTGATGGGATAGAGCCGCGATGCCCAATCTTTAGTCTATCTCGAGAAAATTAAGAATTTAAATTGTAGGCCAGCCACACGTAGGACGACAACCTTTTTTTTTTGAAAAAATCAGCAACAATAGGTAAAAGAAAACACAATAATATTGCACCACTACTGTTTATTACTACTAGTAATCTACAAATTAAATAAATACAAGACAAACAAAACTTATTAATAACCTTGCGTGTCTTCGGCCAGTTTATTGTATTCTGGTACATAAGGTGTTACAGCAAGTCATACAATCATTCAGATGCTCATTTGTTATTCTGGATCTGAACTTTGATTTTAAAAATTTCATTGTCGAAAAGCCACTTTCACAAAGCTAAGTTGATCCAAAGCAGGAATTTCCTTTACAAGTGGATATTTTCTCTCATCCACAGCTGTCCAAAAATCAGTTTGTGATACTCTTGTTTTTAATTGTAAGATATTGAAAATCAATTATTTCCATTTCTAAAATACTGACATTTTTATTCAACGTACTTGCAATCTGCCATATTTCAAAAATATTAAGAAATAGATTTAAAATGAATGAAACGATTGGATGAATTTTACGAAAATCAGAAAATCTAATTTCAAAATTATTTTTAAGTTCAGCAGGATTTTCGGAATATTTATTCAATTCAATTTCCTTATATTTATGAATATAGTTTTCTAAATTTGAAAAATGGCCGAATTTACAATCTTTAATTTGGGATATCCACAAATTTAATTTTGATTGAAATGCATTTACACTTGCTATTAATTCAAAAAGAGTTCTTTATTTCACCCCGAAGTTCAAGATTGAGTTTATTTATTTTGGTTGTTATATCAGTAAGAAAGGAATCTAACAACAGGCCATGATCATTAAGTTCTTCATAATTTTCGTTTCTGGATTCTATTGATACAAACAGTTTTATCTTGAAAGAAGTTCTACAAATCCTAGGACTTTTCCCTTACTAAGCCATCTAACTTCAGAATGTAACATTAAAGTTCCGTACTCAGCATCAAATTCATCGTTCAGTATTTTGGATAATCTGCTCTGAAGTGGTCTGGCTGCTCGAATAGAATTTACAATTTTTAGAACAACTTTCACGATATGTTCATAATACAACACTTTTGTACTGTACAGTACATAAGGCCTGTTGATGAATGATGCAGTGATAATGAAAAGTTTGGAAACTCAGCATCATTCTTACGTAATGTGATGAAGTCAACACCAGAATCAATTGTGGCAGATGCTCTGTCGGTTGTTACGGACATAAGTTTTTGAAGGAACAGATTAATTTCTTTAATGTAGTTTTTAATAACTTGGTGCATATCCTTTCCACGTGTATTTTCTCGTAGTGGCAAAACTGAGAGAATATCTTTTTTTACAGAGCGATCTTTAAAGACCATCCTTATAAAAATATTTATTTGAGCAATATTGCAGATTCTGTTGATTCATCAAATCATAAACTTAAAAAACGCATTTTTCTACATCTTTTTTTCTTTGTAATTTGATATTTTCAGACATTACTTCTACTCTACGGGTGACCGAATTTCTTGATAATTGAACATCTTCAATAACCTATACGCCCGATATAATTTCCTTCTTGTTTTTAAATGTTTCTGATGCAGCAAGCATCGCTTCTTTATGTTGCCGTCGTCAAAGGATTTTTTGTGCATTACAAGTAGGGTTTCTCCAATGTTATCCCAGCTGTTTTTAACCCGGGAAATTCTTCTCATCCCAGGAAATCCCGCAAATTTCTTAAAAATTATTTTTCTTATTTTGTGTTAAAGTTGAGGAAATTTTGCAAATAGAAAGTATAATTAACTCATAAACTGTCGGAATACATTTGTATTTATTAATTTTAAGCCTGTTTATTACTTTTATAATTTTTTGTTCGTTATGGCATGTCACAGATTGTCAATAATCAATATGTAATCTATTTGTGGCAGGACTATGAAAATTTTTACTTGTCGGAACCTGTAATATCTTGAATAATTGCGCCGATGTTGTCTTTATTTTTAACCATGCCCAATAGCTCCAATAACTGCGTTATGCTAGGTTGTGCAAATTAGACCAGGATACAAACGAGTATAAAATATGCAAGTACGAAATTTTTCTTCATAAACTTGATTATTAAAGCCAAAATACCGTATTATCCGGCTATAAGCTTGATGCCGCTATTAACTACTCGGCTACCAGCGGGCTATTTTCGTTACGTTAAATTAAAACTAATTCCACATTGGAAGAACGATCTATCGAAAGAATATAATGAACTTAACAGAAAAAATTTCAAATTTTCGTGCGTTTTCTTGATTTTCTCCAAACTTATCCTTTAATTGTGTTTTTTAAATTATATAATTTTGTAAATTAAGGACTTATCGTACAGGAACATATATTGTAAATACGTTCCCGTACGATAAGTCCTTCATTTAACAAATTATATGATTTAAGAAATATGTTTTCTGTTATCTTACTCCAGAAAATGTTCTTTTTTATAATTAACTTTTTTGACGACAAAAAAGTTATTTATAAACTGTCCTTTTTTTCCACAATTTAAATATATGAGCTTTAAAACACACTCAGAAATATTCTATCTTTCTTTTTCATTTATAACAGTAGATAAGAATATGTTAATTTTATTATTATTCTTTTATTCTTTGAATCTCTTTAGAACAAGTGTCATTTTTGTCAACAAATGTACCCAAATAAATAAAGCATATAAATGCCTAAAAACGTGTTTATGCTATATTAAGTACACAATAGTGTCCAAACGCTTGCAAAAGTAAAACTAATAAATAAAAATAAAAAATCTAAACACCTTAAAAGCCAGGCAAATAATAAACATGAATATAATTGAAAAGAACCCTATTTGCAAAGTGCTCTAAACTGAGGTATACCTGTATTTTTATTTATAATATGTGATCGGATCTGACATCTGAATTTATCCACGGCCAAAACTTGAACACAGGGTCCCTGGAGTGGGAGTTTGGTGTGTTTACTACCTTGGCCGTCCAGCCGTTCAAAATCATATTTTTGCCAAATGCCGTACTATTGATGTAATCCTAAATATTGTCTTTGAATCATAAATATTATAATTAATAAGGTATTTTGAGAAATAAACATGGATAATTGGTCCATTTAAAGTATTTTTGAGGCTTTTGACCAAATTTCTTTGGAGGCATTATGCAAATATCTCTATAGAACAAATATATTAATATAAGAAATGAGTTGAAGACACGAAAGCAAGGCCTCCAGCCGTGTGGCCAAGTATTCCCATGCATTAATGCAGCACTGCAGTTTTAACAAAAAATGAAAAAGAAACAAAGAAAGAAATTTCTTCAACAATATAGGCTGAAAATATTACAATTTTATTTCAAAATCCTATTTTTATATTGAATGTGAAGTTGATATTTGTCTTCTAAATAAGCCATTCTGTGAAAATAATTTCAAAATGATTCAGTTGTAAGATGAAGAAGCATGAATCTCTTGGAAGATGTCATAGGTTTGATAAATACACTTTTAAAAAGCATGGTGACAGCAACTTTACTTACTAGATATACAGAATACATATAAAATTCATGAAGTAAAGTATAAATATTAATTTAAATTTGATCCTTTCCCTCATAAAAACTAGAAAAGATAGTGAAAATCTAAAACCAGTTGTAGCAGATGCTATCCTGTCTAGGAGTAGCTACAGCATAGTGGTCACTCTTCAGTGACTTGTCTCTAATCTTTGAGTAAGGCAAACTGCTTTCCTTAGTCCAACTTCCAACTGAAGTCTTAGTGTTTCTCCTGTCTCGTATTGAGTTCACTGCTCTTGTGTGGGAGTCTGCAGAACTTTCACCCCACATATTTAATTCAATGAATTGAGTCTTCTAGTTTAACTAGTTTAACTTCTAGTTATCCTCTTAACTTTTCTGTTTATTTGTAATTCAAAACCTCTTATTTATATTTGGTGACTTCCCAATGAATCAATAATCAGGAAACCCACCATCCAATATTTTCATTTAAATGTAAGTTGAACACAAAAGACAAATGTGCAAGTGGATCAATTCACATCTAAAATATAATTCTGTTTATACCAGTGATTCTCAAACTTATTCAATTCACAAACTATTTAAACTGAGTTGCTGCAAAACACCTGTGCTCTGTCCAATCCCTTATCCTGTAAATATAACAAAATGAATGAAACCAATTTCCAGCTCAAATTTATAAGAAAGCAAATGTTTTTGACCATGTTAAATGGGCATCTTCAAGCTAACTGATCTTTGATCTATGATCTTTAACCTTACAACCCTCTCCCCTCTCTCTCTCTTTCTTCTTAACACATGAATGGTAATTCCTTGTTTTAACAGCTGCTAAGGTCAGTTAGCCTGAAGATGCAAGATGGTCAAAACATTTGCTTTCTTATAAATTTATGCTGTAAATTGGTTTCATTTTGCTATGTTTACTAATTATTAAGTACACCCAATTTTGAGAAGTTGATTACAGATTCTATTTCTCTTTTTCTTAAAATATATCAGTATTTTTTATTGAAATACAGTATTCTTTTTAAAATTCTAATTACTAAAAGATTATTGAGAAAACAAGTTTTACAAATGTAGATATATTTTACTCTATAATAAATTCTTTAATATTTGAAAATTTAGTATTGATTTCATTAGATGATAATATATTGAACTTAATTTTATTTTTCATTTAGTATTGATAAAAGGTGAAGAATATCAGGGTCTATATTTAGGAAAATTCCATACGTATTCACATCAGGTGACTGGAGAAGTATATGCTGTAGATCAATATACATTTTTAATCAAGCATTTCTTTTACGATGGATTGGGTCAAGGTGAGTGTAATTAAACAAGTATTTTTCTTCTCTGTTAATAACATTAACATTAACAGAGAAGAAAAATACTTGTTTAATTAATATCATTTCACAAATATTTAGACAAACAACATTCTTTAGAACTTATTGAAAATTATTAGTAACAGCTGAACTATCATAGACAAATGAAACTTTCTCTCTTTTTTTTAATTCCATTAGAAACAACGTAATTTCAAAACTGTTTTGTGAATACATTTTTACATGATAAATTATTTATAATAAAATACCTTTGATATCAACAGTTTCTATTTATCTTGAGAAAATGTCAAATTTGAAGAAATGGATAGCTCAATCATTTGTCTGTGATGATTTTAGTAATTAATCATTATGATGGCCATCTGTGTACTACTTTGTTTTTCAACTATGATATGGGTTTGGCTCTGTTTCACAAAGAAATTGCAATTTCAATTCAGCCTCAGATTTCAACCACTTTGTATTAGTACAGAAAATATAAAACACATTCAAATCAGTATAAAAAATATAACAGGTGCTCCAAAACATTCATCTATGAAAATTCTGTAGTTTTTAAATTACACAAACTTTACCTCAATTACTTTTAGCTAAATGTTAAATTAAATTTATGTTTATGTTTAACTAAAATTAATAAAATATATGAAGTTGTTATGCTATTTTTGAACTAAAGAATCTTTATATGTATATAAAAAGCAAAATGAGTGAAATTAAGGAAAAATTAACTAAGAATATTATTACTATAAGAGCCAGCTCCATTTACAGAATAATTCTTCACAAAGCTGATTTACTTAGATTCTTTCAAATGTTTTTATAAATATAAAAAATTGCATTCAAATTATTTTAATTCTAATGTAATAAAAAAAGTCAGTTTAAATGCCAGAACATTTGAAGTTTGAAACATTCAGTAAACCATTCAGTTTGAATGTTTAGAACCTGAAGCAGGCTCATAAACTAGGCTGTAAATTTAATAAATATAAAAATCTTATGAATATACAAAGAAAAACTTTGCTTGCTTCTGTTTCTTATCCATCATTTTAGATTTTAATATGTTCAATGCAAAAATTTTTCCATATATATTCAAAAAATAGAATTGAAATAAATATTATGAGAAAAAAAATGCAATTTTAGAAAGTGGGTTTAATAAATAATCATTTTCATGGGGAAGATATTTAAGAATAAATATGGAAAATATTTATCGGTCTTAAATTTTGATTATAATTGATTGAAAATAATTTAATGAAGCGGATGTAAACAAAGGGAGAAGAACTTTGATATTATTAGAGGAAAGCTTAAAGGAAGAAAACATGCTAGAGTGGGAGAGGACCTTATACTACATGAAATTAGTGGGAAAGAGAAACCGATACAGAGATGCTATGGATTTTAGAAAATGTCTACACAACTACATAGTTAATGTTAAAGATGCAGAAATCCTTTCTAATGCATGGAAATGGCATCAAAAGCACATAAATGGACAGATTTTATGACGAGTTGTATAATGGAGCATAGGACCAAATCATAACATTTAATTTTTGAATCTAAGATGTTTGTTTTTACGATTTTTGAACTAATGGAATTTTATGTAAGTGTTTGAATCCTTTGAACATTTGCTGCCTAGCAGCAAGTGTTCATAAGATGAGATGACTAGCTCAAAGTACTAATGCAATTTTATAGTATTAAAGTTTACTGTACTCATAGAAAATAGTGTGAAATTGTTTATTAATTTAATAAAAACTCTTTTTACAAATAAATTATTATTTTTTATTTTAATAGAAATTTCAAATATTTTTACAGATACATTCTTCTGGGCTGGGTCTACAGTCAGGCCAAGTAACATTGGTTTTATTGTTCCAGATGAAGAAGGAAGGTAATTTGAAATTTTAAAACATTTGTGTTATAAAGTATTATATATAATAAACTCCTATGCATCTAAATAAAATAATTTTAAAAATTCAATAAAATTAAATAACTACATATTTAAAATTGTATTACTTAATCTCCATTACACATAAGTTTACTATATGAAGAAGCAAATACAGAACTTCTACTGCAAAACTTCCACAGAAATGGAAATTGCAAATACAGTATAAGAAAGAGATATACTTGTTCATTAAGAAATAAATTTATGAGATTGGAAAAAACATGATTAGAAAATAAAAAACACTTTTTCGTATGAAAAAACGCAAATTATTTTGAGAGTTGACATACTTGTATTATATAACAACCCCAGGTAGTATGAAGAGTTATTCATTTTCATATTCACCAATCTAGAGTTTTTGAACTCAAAGGTTGTTTACTTGTTATGTGACTTAAGTTGAGAGTTGTTAAGTTGTTGCTATCTAACAGGATCAGTGATTAGTTTTGATAAATCACATGTTATAATAGATAAAATGGCACAAGAAGTCAAAAGCATTTAGTTTACTTGAAAAAGAAGTTTTGTTGGAACTAACTCAGAAATACAGCAATATTATAGAAAATAAAAATCCAAATGCTGTCTCGGTTAAAGAAAAACAAGACACCTGAAAATTACCAATGAGCATTTCTAATTAATAATCACATTTATTTTTAACATAGAGGCAATCTACAATTTACTAGAGTAGATTTGCAGACTCATTATATTATACATTTGTGTTTTGATCTCAATCTAATTCAAATATATAATAATAATATAAAATATAATTGTCCCATTGTTTTATTAATCTTTCTGCAAATAAGTGAATTTTGGTTTTGAAAATATGAAAAATATATGTGAATACAGAGCTTCTACACAGAAAAAATCATAGAGAAAGAATTTTAAATAAAGATAAGACATATATAATCATAAAATTAATTAAATAAGATAATCGGCTTATTTCCCTAAGTAAAACAAAAATAAACAAATTAAATATGTCATTTCATTTTAGAAACTGTTTCTTCTATCATTCATTGCCTCATCCAACAAAGAGATTTAGATGATTGTGTATATATCTCTCTCTCACTTATTTTCTAAAATGGAAATTTAAACTTTAAATTAAATTAAATTTTCAGCTCCATTCACAAATATAAATTAGTAATATGAGTATTTAGCATAATTTCCATTTACTAATAGAAAAACTGCATTTTTAAAATATAGATAAAGTAAAAACAGAAACCTTTGAGACTATAATCACTCACTTTACATTGATTATAATTATAAAATGTTAAAATGATTTAATATAATATATTTTCTAGGACAAATAAACTTCAACGTTATGTTAATAGGGACTTGACAATAGTGTTACCAGATAATAAAAAAATTACAAGTATTAGATGGCTAGCAGTCTGGGATTTAAGAGAACATGTAAGTTTCTATTACTTTTTAACAAAAGTAAAAGTTATTTTATGTGAGTTTAATATTTATTAATATTTGAAATAATTTTTGTTATACAAATATGTTAAAGTTTAATAAACAAACATAAATATATTTGCTTAACAAACATTATTTCATTAAATCAAATAGTTATTAGAAGAACTTGATATAGTTTTGACACATATAACAATTTTTATTCCTTACTTTAATTATGATGGGAAAAATGAAAGTGCTGCTTTTTTCTCAGAAAATAATAATAAACTATTTTATTTGATCTCACTTCGATAAAATCCCATATGTGTTTAGATAGAAAGATCTATTATCAGATAATACACAAAAAACTGGCATAAAAATTTGTCAATGCATATAATTGAATGTCTGTAACTCATGTAAAAGTTGATATAAATTGGGTTGCAATAAATCTTTCTTACTTTTGATGTTGATGATTTTTGATATTTAAGTAATAATTTTAAATTATCATTTATCAATGTCATTCTGTTTTAGTCCTTTCATTAAAGCATATTGTATCATTTGTAAGTTCGCTGACCTGGTGGAGATTGGAAACTTTTTATCCCACTCCTGACACCAAAGTGGGGGCCGAGGGGGGAGAGAAAATAAAAAAAATCGATAAACGATAATATGCGATATGTATTGTCATCGTCTCCCTTGCCGTTTGGATTGCCGAGCGGTAACAATCAACGACATGTGGAAGCAGTTGAGTCAGAGATAGATGCTTCATTTACAAACAACACAACCGTTTATTAAACACGAAAGAAGCTTACAAGATTTCCGCGATCTTGGAAGTTCTGCGGCGGCTGCGGCCTCTGGGTCTTCCTCTCCTGTGGTTCCCCGATAGTCCCATTTTGAAGGAGTGTCCCTTGTTCGAGAATGAACAATCCCATCACGTCTTGATGACTCCGGGACGATGCGGTCGACTTCCATTGATGGAACGATGTCGATCCGAGGTCGGGAGATGGAGACAAAGATGGGTGCGCGACACACACACAACAACAGGTTCGTCACTTGGAACTTTCGGGAGAAGAAGCCGTCGCGTCCTCGAATTTCCGGGGTTTTATCTGTTTTCTCTCAGATTCCCCTTTCCGATTGGTCTCCCGTCGTCACCTGATGACAATTCGAAACCTTTTGGGGGCGCGGGAGAGGTCAAAATCGAAGTTTAATTCGATCTCCAACCGGAAATGATCAACGGACTTACATTCTTTTATTGTTTAGAAGTCTTCTATTGTCTAGCGTCGCGTTTTCATATAATAAAAATCTATCTCTAACTACTAAATATTTTTTCTCTAAAATAATTATTTTTCGCGAATTTTAGTGAGGGTTCGGACCTGTCCAGAGCCTCACACATTTTAATTAAAGGAAGGGACAAACTTTAATCATAATATGAAATTATAGTAAAACTCATAATAAGAAAATTTTAAATATTGAAGACTGACTAAAGGTTTTAAAAAAAGTCAAAAATCTATCTTTAATTATGAGGATAACATTTAATAAATAAAAGTTTTGAGTAAGTAATTATATCTTAAGATATTATTAAACCTTTCATTTATAATTTCAATTAAATCATAAATAATAATTTTTTCTTTTGGCTAACTTTTGGATATTCGCCTTTTAGAATAACTGACTGTTTTCTCTCTAAAAATAACATCATAATATAAGAAGATGTAGGCCTACATATTTTATAATTTAACAATTTCTTTTATTTTCTAAAATTATCTTTTTTTTTATGAAATTAATTTAATTTAAAGCAATAAAAAATTAAAGAAAAAACTCTTTTTTGCAGTCTAATTTTGCAGATATATACATTCCTGAAGGTTTCGAACCGCCATCACCACAACGTCTGTCAGAATTTTCTCGTTTGGGACACAATGTTTCTTCTGATCCTGTTATGATTATTGATTCTAAAACAATTTTTATTCCTTACTTTAATTATGATGGGAAGAATGAAAGTAAGCTTTCTCCAAAATAAATAAGATATAATTAATATTAGAAATTTGATTGTTTTATTTTAAATGCTCAGATTTTGCTTTATGTATGTGATTATATGGATGATTATATCTTTATTCTCATTATTAGTTTTTATAGTGATTACTAAAATATCATGAAAAATATTATATATTTCTACATATATACATTCAAACCCTGTTAATACAAAGTCAAAGGAACTTAAAAATTGGTATTTTGTATTAAGGAAATTTGTATTAACTGAACTTGTTACCATTGAAATGCCTATCCTCTTTTGTAAGTGAGACTGCAAATCTATTTTGCATTAATGCAGACTTTGCATAAACATTAATCATCACACATGTGTGTGATGATTAATGTTTAATCATCACACACATGTGTGTGATGATGATAAACATTAATCATCACACACATGTGTAATACACACATGTGTGATGATTAATGTTTATCATCACACACATGTGTGATGATAAACAATAATTATCACACATGTGTGTATTACACACATGCAGATGCACATATACAGAATGTTTCCTAATAGATAATAAAGCTGAAGAGAGATTATTTGTTGAATAGATTTAAGATTTAAACTTTAAGAAGGTACTAAAAATGAAAATAAACTATACAGCATATTATGAATTTAGTATTTAAAATAAGTATTAAAATAATTTTAAACACTACTTTATATNTTGATATGCAAAATTGTCCAGAAACATTTATTGTCTCACATTTCCCAGATCCAAACACATATGCCTAGAGCTTATTACTTGTACCCACAAGTTGAGCAGAAAAAGTCTAGTGCTCAAATACAGTAGCTAGTCGCAATCAATTGCAATTGCAGCAGTGATAAGTTCTCGCACATACTGCTCTATTGTGTAGTCATTACTTTTGTTCCAATTCTGCATTGAGCTGTTAAAAAGTTGGCAGTATTATGCAAATAACGACTTGTGTGATAAATTGCCTAAACAAATATTTCAAGTTTAATTTTAACAACTGGTTTGCTGAAATAAAAATATTTTAGGATGTGGTGCAAACTGAATGAATTTTTGGGTTGGAGGAGGACCACAACCAAATAGTTTTGGTAGGAAAATTCCAAATGAAAAAGGATAGTAAGTAATTTGATATAACAACTTGTATGTTGTATAATATCAATATATTTTATTTTAATTCTAATAAAACATTTTACAATTTTAGTTTAAATCCTTTGGGAAGTTATAAAAATGAAAATATCACATTGGAACTACCAGGAAATTTAACTGTTTCTCAAATTTCGTGGTTAAGTGTATGGGATGAAGAGAAAGGTGAAAACTTAGGCTCTATTATAATTCCAGACGAATTAAATATTCCACCATCTCTGATAACTGAGATAGTAAGCATAATAAATGTTAACTATTAAGATGATATTTAAAAATTATCATCATAAATTTCTATACCTATTTGCAGAAGTTTGAAAGTCAGCTACCAAACTGTGAGCAATTACACAGAAATTTACAATTAAACTGGGATGTCTTTGGTCCTCAAATTACTTTTGAACTCTCTGGACAAATAGGTAATTTTAATTTTGGAGTAAAGTATTTTAGTATTTACTGTTCATTAAGACATATTATTATAGAATGAAGTGGAAAATAAAGATATATTTTATTAATATTTTTTAACATATAAAGCATGTAATTGTTGACAGATTCTACAGAGAAGTATTTTATAAAGCAAAAGTAAACTATTCATTTGTGAGTTATTTCAAGTTCATAAAAATAAAGTTATTTCTTTCCTGAATTTATAATTGCCAATTTCTTTCTAATAAATCTATTTTCATAAAAGCATTGGTTATTGAAAAAGTCATTATCATAAAAATTTAATGCAGTTTCTGTTAGAACAATGATGAGGCAGTCCTTTAACTTAGAATTAAAGTTTATTCTAATCTAAGACTATACATGAACTTGTTCACTCATCCATAACTTTGCATGCAACTGAACAACAAGTCTCTTCTTGTTTTGAGCAGTCTTTTGTGGTGTTGCCAGTTCATACACAGTTTGCGATATCGACACTTGCTTTAGTTTAGTATTCCCTAACAGTTTCACATTTCTGTTGATGACTTTTAATAAATAATGATTTTTCTTTCTGAAGATAGAAAAAACTATTCTCTTAACCTTTTGATTATTCCCATATTTCCTGCATAGTACTACTATTACTTATCTCCCAAAATCAAATCAATATCTAAAGGAAAATGGTATGAAATTGTATTAAACACTATAACAATAAAATTAGTGACATAGTTGTTAGCAAGAAATGTATAGTGACATGCATTTATATAATGTTGGAATTCATTTTGTGCTTTCGTCAAACCAGTTTTGATGCCACTAAAGATAGACTGGAAAACCCGAAAATACTATGTTTTTATTGAAATTTTTTGTTTTGATCCTCCCAAAAAACAGCAGAAAGACACGTGTTAAGGACATTGGAGAAACAAATTTAAATGAATTTAAAAATATTTCAGACAAGAGCCAAAATTATACATCTCAAGAAGATCACGTTGAGTAAGAATACATGTTTTTCAAATGAAACAAGAATTTCATTTGGATTCAAATAGAACTTAATTGCAAAATGTGATAATTTTTGATTTTAGTTTATAGCTCTAAATTTGTGCTTTACTGAGTGCTCTGTTTATTATTTATTATTAAATACTATATGTATTTCATATTATATATGATGTAATCATTTGTGGTATTCAAATAATTTAATAACTGGTTTATTGCACTAGTGCCCATTTTAAGTATAAAAAGCAATATTTATTTGTAATTTTATGTACAAAGCCCTATGGATTTTTTCACACAATGCACTCTGCAAATTGAAAAAACATACCAAATAATAACAACAGTAGTGAAAATAAACTACAACACACAATGTAATGTCTTAAAACTGATATTGAAGATAGCTACATCTTGATGTGAATATCTGGATGAGAATAAATCAACATTATCCAAAAATTTGTTAAAAGTATTTTCTAACAAAACAAAAAAGGTTACAAAAATATTGCATAAAACACTTTAAATATCTCTGACAAAAAGCAACAATAAAATTATGATTTCATATTTCCATATTGCCTCTTGATTAGCATCTTTTGTGGTTTGTTTCACTTTTTATCTGAGGGTCATCAGCTTTGTGATTAATCCTTATCCCTTATCCAGGACTAATATTGATATGCAAAATTGTCCAGAAACATTTATTGTCTCACATTTCCCAGATCCAAACACATATGCCTAGAGCTTATTACTTGTACCCACAAGTTGAGCAGAAAAAGTCTAGTGCTCAAATACAGTAGCTAGTCGCAATCAATTGCAATTGCAGCAGTGATAAGTTCTCGCACATACTGCTCTATTGTGTAGTCATTACTTTTGTTCCAATTCTGCATTGAGCTGTTAAAAAGTTGGCAGTATTATGCAAATAACGACTTGTGTGATAAATTGCCTAAACAAATATTTCAAGTTTAATTTTAACAACTGGTTTGCTGAAATAAAAATATTTTAGGATGTGGTGCAAACTGAATGAATCTTACCACTGGAAGTAATTCATAAAGAAGTCTTATTCATTATTATATTAAAATTTTTAAATACAAATCATAGTAAATATTTGATTTGATGTTGTTGATAATCTAATGAGAAAATATTTGTTACAATATAATAGTTTTATTAATCAATAGTTATTTTCCTTAATGTAACATTTTTCATTTAGATGATGATGACTATATGTCTGTTGGGATCAGTGGTTCTAAAAATTCATCTCAGATGATAGATGCAGATGTAGTTATTGCCTACGTTGATGGATTTTTACCATTAACTATTGATTATAACATTACCGGAAAATATCCTGTAAGGAAAATGTTTTATAAATATTCAATAAATACATTTTCAGAACATTTAAAAAATTTAAATTATAATATATTTATCTTTTCTAAAGTGCACAAACGTTCTTGGACTTAACAAAGGTGTCTGTTCTGATTTAAAATTGGGTGCAGTAGATAATTTCCAAGTGCATTCTCATTATAAAGAAAATGGAATTACATCCATAACATTTCGCCGTAATCTGATAAACACCGGTAAGTATTAATTAATAGAATAAAATATACAGTATTTGAAATATTACTTTTTTATTTTTATTGTTAGTGTTTTATTTAATTTTATTTATAATTATAGATTAACTTATTAGTTGCTAATTCATTTATTATAATTGTAGCTGTAAAATGTTATAATTATGCATGAAAACATTTTAATAACAATAATTTATATTATAATAGTAGTAACTTACTTATCAAATATATATTTTATTAGGTGATGATGGAGATAAAATTTATAATTCGGATGGTGATACATATTTAGTTTGGGCTATTGGAAAATTAAATCATTTTAAAGAACCTGGATTCCATCATATTTATCCAAAAGGTAATATGAATTTTATAATCAATATTTATTCAATAATTTTCAGCATGTAAATTTAAATATTTCAAAGAATAGAATACTAAAATTTAATAAAATTTTATAATTTTAATAGGTACAATTAAATATCAGTTAGGAAGAAAGAAGCATGCAAAAAATTGTTTTGCTTTTACAAAATCACCAACAGAAGAAAAGAAAATTAGTTGGAAAATAATGCAGTTACGTGACCAAAAAACTGACACTTTCATTATGAGAGTTGGTCCTCCCGGTGATTGGAAAGGTTATTTAGGAATAGCGGGTGTGTATTATTAATTTATTGAAAATATTAATTAATAGGAACATTAATAGTACTGTAATAATGAAATTGTTTCTATTTGCTGTTATCTGTTCTTGCTTTTTTCTCCCTGTATTAGATTAGTTCATCTAATTCAATCATTTGATACTAAGATTAATCCAACTTCATCAGAAAGCAAATGCATGCCTAAAATACTTTATTTTCCTTAATTTCCTGCCTGTAATCTGTAAACTGTATTAAGAAATTTTCAGACTTTGGTAGTGTTGATTATAGACCTTTGAATATAATTTGTGATAACTTTTCCACTCTGTAAAAGCATTTTACTTTTTATCTGAAAAAGTCTTGTATGATAAAACATGACTGAATATCTTGCTGTTGTTTATGTCTGACAGACACAAAAACCAAATGTCAAGAATCCATTCACTTCTACTTGTGAATGGTATATATTATTGATCTATTTGTCTGCTTTTCAATAAACATCACCAAATCAATCTTTGTTTGAAATATGTTTTAAATTTATCTTAAATAACAGTGAATAGTATCTGAATTCTGATGCCTGAAATTTGGGTAGTGAGAAAAGAAACAGCAGGTCAAACAATCTGTGAAAAATTTTAAGGATTTGATCTGGACTGAAACCAAAACCTCTAGACCAGGAGTTTGAGGCATGTACCTATTAAAAATGATATAAGCAAGTGTAAGAAAAAGTGCAGATTCCTCTAAAAGCTGAAACTTTTCTAATAAGCCACTTTTCTATTGTGGCTTAATAAAAAAAACTCCATCTGTACGTAAATATTTTCTAACAAGATCATATTCAGTAGTATTTTGTAAATCATTAAATTATTCCACTGTATTTATATCTTGTCATAATTGAGTTTCCACTATATCTTAAAAAACATGTGCTTTTTAAGACATAAATACAGTGGAAACTTAATTATCTAAACTTGATGGGACAAGTGGTGTTTTGGATAAAGGAAATTTTGTATAATCCAGAAATTGATTTGTTTTTGTGTTTTTGATACATAAACAAAGTGCATTTAAAGTTTCATCAGTTACAAATACAATAGTTGCATTATGAGATTTAAAGGTAAATTAATGAACTCAAAATCTAATGTTAATTTTGCAGGTAAACCAACTCCAGGAGTAGTTTGGTATGTAAATGGTCTTTTAGCTCCTGAAATTTATGTCAAGCGTGGCAAAAAATACACATTTAAAGTTGAAGGAGGAAATAATCCATACAATGCAAGATACTATCATCCATTATATATCACAAATGATCCTCATGGTGGATACGGAAGATATACAGAAGAACAAAGACAGGTATTTATCATTTTAATATATATGTTACTGTGAATGACCGAAATCTGGCAAATGTCAACATTCTCCAATGAATGTCAACATTCACACAGTCGTTTCGTGTATGTCCGAAATATTTGCTAAATATCGTTATTTCTCACTTACACCGGCAAATGTCGACATTCAGAATGCGCTGATGGTGAATGTTGAATAAAAATAATTTTATTACATTAAGACAAAAATGCAACTTTTTAATATGTCAAAATAGGAGAAAGCTTAAGTACATGTAAATAAACTGTTGAACCTAAAACGAACAGTACTGTACATTCTATATCACTAAAGAAAGTAATACAATAATAAACTTACACATAATAATGTGATTAACATTATACAATCTTATTTATTGCAACAACTTAAACTGTTATGGCATTTTGAATTGCACAAGAGTCCCTTTGCTTTTACAACTGCATTTATTCGTGAAACACTTTTTTTTGCAATGACAGCGTGTATAGCCTTGCCCTCCACTTTTCGAATTAGGTGCAGCTGCTTCTCTCAGCGATATTTCTTGAGAAGAAATCTTACCTATGGAAAATTTTCTTTACAAATTACGAACCGATTACGGGTATAAAGCTGCTTGAGGGTATTATTTTTGTTTGCTAATTTATAAAAGTCGGAGTCTTCTATTCTAACAACAACTGCCAACACATTTCGGGCATCTGTACGGCCACAGTCAACATCAGGGACTTGTATTCGTACGGTATCACCAATTTGAGCAGAAGGAAACGGCGAAGAATTTGGCGACAGACTGTCGCCTCTCCGTTGACA